AAAAACTATTCAAAATAAAGGTTCTCTCATGCCCTATGTACGCTTTTGTTGATTGGGAAGATGAATATAGCAGCCAAAGGCATTACAATTTACGCTGGTTGTGGGTGTTTTGGACAGAGGACAAAGAAAACGAAGCACGTAATTAGTTTGTTTTCTAATGGGAGCGAGCGTGTGGGAAGTATGATGAAGTATTAGTTATTGTTGATTGGATCGCGGGTGATCGGTGATCTTCTCGGCTGCTTAGAACAGCAGCGTGCCCATGCCGCCCATCTCCGACTGCTCCTTAACGAAAATCTCAAAGTACTGGTAGATGATGGTCACCGCCAGCAGGATACCCGTTCCGGAGCCGATGGCGCCCAGGAAGTCGGCCATCACTGACAGCGCTCCGATGCAGAGACCGCCGAAAGCAGCCGCCGTCGGGATGTAGCGATTCAGCTCGTGGATCATAGAGTTCTCGCGATGGCCACGCATCACCATGTGCTGTTCCTTCAGCTGCTTGGCAACCTGAAAGGAGACAATAAAAATGGATTGGTAAGTCATTAATCATGAATTGAATGATTCAGACGTATGACTCAATCTACTTACATCCTTGGCTGAGCTGCCGGACACATCGATCCAGGTCTTGGAGAAGAACGCGCAGGAGCCCAACATGAAGACAATGTAGAGCAAGGCGTGGATGGGGTCGGTGAGGATGTGACCCACGCTCTCCGGTGGCGAAAGGTAGTAGCACAGACCGCCGATGGGATAGGAGCGGGCCGGGCCGCCGCCTCCAACATCGGCCCACACACCCAGAAGGTTGATGAAGAAGTTGCCCTGGAACTTGACGGCCAGCATCTGGGAGATGACGTACAAGTTGGACACGAGCGCGGACTGCAGGATGATGGGGATGTTGGAGGTGTAGAACAGCTTGATCGGGTAGCTGCTGTACTGGCCGCGGTAGCGGGCGCTCTTGATGGGTAGATCCACGCGGAAGCCTTGGAAGTATATGACGACAGCGAACACCAGCACGGTGGCCAACAGGTTCATCAGGTTGGGCAAGTTCTGGCGATAGAAGGCCTCGCGCAGGGCGCGCACCTTATCGTTCCTGGTGGCCATCAGATGGAACAGAGCAATCACGGCGCCCTCGAACTCAGTGCCGCGTCCCGTCGTCACAGTGGTGGGGCTGAATGCCTTCCACACAATCGTTTCGCAAATGTTGGTCGCAATAAAGAGGGAAATACCCGATCCCAGACCATAGCCCTTCTGCAGGAGCTCGTCCAGCAGCAGCACAATCAGGCCGGCAGCGAACAGCTGGATGATGATCAGCAGGCAGACACCGGCTCCAATCTCCGACGGATCGCCGTACATGCCGGTCATCACATAGACGATGGCCTGTCCGATGGTGATCACCATGCCAAAGAGCTTCTGGGCGCCGTTGAACAGAGCACGATCCTTGGGCGTGTCACCGACCTCAATGATCTTTGCTCCGGCCAGCAGCTGCATGATCAGGCCCGAGGTCACGATGGGCGAGATGCCCAGCTCCATGAGCGTACCACGATTGGAGGCCAGGATCACACGAATCCAGTAGAAGGGATCCGCTGAATCGGAGCTCATGATGCCGAAGAGCGGGATCTGGCAACAGACCAGGAAAATGAACAGCGTGATTGCAGTCCATAGCACTTTCTCCCTGAATTGGATCTGGAATCAAAAAAGGTATACAATTTAGAATGTGTCATATTTCAGAATAGCTTTCTCTTCGTAGAAATGCCATGGTTTGTTAGCTGTATATATACAGTTTCATTTTAATAAATTAGTTATTAGATAAGGTAAAAGTAAGCAATTTTACAATTTGAATATTATGATTACGTTGTCAGCAGAGTATACAAATAAAAATGTTTAATATTGTGCAATAAAAACAATTATGGTCATTATTCAATAAGGAGAAAATAAGTAACACAGATTAACGATCATAATTATCCTAACCATACATTAAAAATATCTTAAAAATAAATTTTTTGTATCATTTTAATCGATTAGTTTTGAAAAATGCTACATAAAATCTTTAGCTGTCAAAATAAAATTTTAATAAAATAAACCACAGTTATTTAAAATATAGCTGAAATTTACATGATTAAATGTTATTAGAAATTTATAGTTTAGCCTTAAGTTTTTTATTTTGCCGAAAATAAGCTTCGGCAAATAGAACTGCCGCTATGTTGACCTACATGTCCGCTTTTCCATGTGGGTACGTGTGTGTATTGTTTAAACAAAATCAAGTTAACTTATGGGAAGTTTGTCGTCGTCGTCGTCGTCGTCGTCGTCATCGCATGTCATTCGGGAGCAACAAAAACAAACGAGCCGAAGCTGACGTCGACAGCGCTTCGGATTTTGACTTCGGGTGAGCCGAAGTTTGACATTTCCACGTAGCGTTTGTTTGACGCTGTGTGGGTAAATAGGAGTATGGGCAACAAGTAGCCAGGTGATAAGAAAAGTAGTAGATTTAATGAGGTGGAAATTAGGCGATTCATGAATGAAAACGTCCAAGAAACACATTAAAAAACATGAAAAGGTACGGTTCTGGAGTACTCTGGTGTTAAAGAAAATCACAATACTTCAGTCGGGATAAAATTTGTCCTTAAAATATGATACATAAATGGATAAAACGGATTAAACGTTAAAAACTTAGTGCATTCATCACATTCCAGGTTCACCGAATTAAGTTTCGAGAAACTTTGTTGTTGCTTTGCCTCCTACTAAATGAAGAGCAAACTGTTTGCGTGGCGATGATCAGTTTTTGACAAGTGAAAGCAACCACAAAACGCGTGCGCTGGCAACACTGGCAAAAGTGGGGGGAGATTACCTCAGAAAAAAACACACACGTTAAACACGGAGAAAAGCCGCTAATTGTAAGCCAAATTTTAATTACAAGAAACACAGCACTGTTGGGAAACTGCCAAGACCTTTGGCATATTAAATTACAGATTTATACACACCTTGCGCTCTGGTTTTGCGATTTCCGGCAGTATACTGCAGAAGGGTTTGATAACTTCCAGAAACTTGACTGCAAATAGTGAATGAAAAGCATTGAATTAGACGTGTTTTCGCACTTTTCATTTAGTTGCAGTTTTTCAGGCACACTCAGCGGCGCATGCCGAATCTTTTTTGTATACGTAAGCAATGAGCGACGGGGGTGCGAGCGGAATCGGAATCGGCATCGCAGGGCGGCACTTTCACACAAAAACCGCTGCACTCCCGGGATTTTCGACTTGGCTGCGCTTTACTTACTTCCCATTTTGCTGGACTTGTGTTAGCGCTCGAGTAAAGAGCTTGGCAATTGCACTTTCTATACAAAAACTAGAAAGTCTCACTTTCAACAGCAAACGCTTCAAATTTCAAAAACCGAATGAAAGAAACGAGCGACTACGTCGACGTGTCCAAACTCAGTGTGACCGCGGCTGGAATGTCAGAATATTCCATCCTGTCAGCGATAAGTCGGCGGTTAGCGGGGATTTTTGAGGGACACACGATCGGTCACATTCACTTGACGATTTCACTAAGAAAGCTTAGAAAGAGACAAATGTATATGCTTAAGATTTATTTGTTTATCTCGCTGATTCTAACGTTTAAAAGTTTGCAACGGTTACATGCTAATAAATTTTTCGTATACCAGCTTCGCACTGAGCACTGAGCACTATATTAATTTTTTACGTCTCCGGCAATATTTTTTTTTAGAAAGCATTGGCCGTATTCAGTAGAACAACATGATCACTGATGAGTGATGGATCAGCAATCAGTGTACAAGATTGTTCTTAATTTTTGCCTGTTTTTTGATTTGGTTTTGTTTACATTCTGATATTTCAGTTTATTCTTATCGACATTTATAACATCGATATTGGCCAGCAGATATGTATCAAGAAAAGGTAGGGCTTTTGTTTTACGCTCCGTTTTTGCTGATCATGATGGAAGAATTTTTGCATTATGATCAGTGATCATACGCGTTCAGCAGAACTATCGTAAGAAATCCATCACTGATCAGTGATCATGATGATCTGTTGAATACGACCATTGTACTTTCAGCTACAACGAATATATTTTAATTTATTTACAAAACAAGTATTAGTTATTTGTAAAAATATTAATATATTTGTTTTTGTTTGTTCTCTACATTATATTTTTTTTTAAAGTTTTTAAAAAGCAATAAATTATTTTCGTGATTTCATTCCATTTACTCGGCAGTTCCGAATGAGCGAATTTATACTTTCTATATCCTACTCAGATCGACGAACAGTTTCGCCAGCGAAAAAACTTTATTCATTATCGTGAGACCTAAGTTTTCAGAGTTCACCCGAGTTTGTGTGCTTCGGTCACACTGTCAATCAGCTGAGCTTGCTGAAAAACAAATTATCTAAAGAAATCAAACTCGAAGATTATGAATATAAACGCCATAGTTAGATTTGGTATTAGAATGGTGGCAGAAACGCGTATTTCTCTTGTTTTTGTCGTTTTTCCCTAAATTTCGCTTGAAAGTTTAAATCCTACAACACCAAAGATTACATTTTTTATTCTTTTCGCCAGGGCCTGACAAACGTTCATCGAGAGTTCATTCCAGACGTCTGGCAACGCTCTGCACATTTCTAGTATTTTTTTCTTTGATCTGAGTAACGTGCAAAAAGGAACTGCCGAAAAGTTTTCCCAGGTTATTTGCCTCTTCCTCTCTCTCATTCGTCGACCTGAATACTAGGCTTTAATATTTATTTTGTTGACGAAAAAATTTAATTTTGTGTTCTGTTCCTCTTTTTAGGTTTGTTTACTTCGAGTAGGCCGATCAGATGTTTTTGCATCGGCGGGTGACTGTATGAATGGATCGCTTAAACTTTTTCGCTACAACTCTTTTGAACGGCTGTGTGTAGACGCTATTAAAGTGAGCACCCAACATCAAAGTCTTATGTGACTTCCAAAAAAAATACCAAAAACGCCAATATCAGAAATCCCTTAATTTGTATATCGGCTGTTATGACAGCTCTAGAACTCTCCAACTTAACAACAAACAAACACACGCAGTGCAATTAGTGGGCGGGCGTATAAATATAGTACTATTACTCGTGCACATATGCGTGAAAAACTAGCTGGCAACAACAGGAATGCGAAGAAAAGCCAGTATTTCGAGCGCTGCGAGTAAAGTGAATAAATTCGTTGCGGGACATTTTCGGGCGAATAATGTCTACTTCGGTTATTTGTGTAGACCTGAGCTCCGAGTCCGAGGAAGAGGTAATATCCCAATTTCCCAGCGCAACCACCGATGTGTGTGTGAAAAAGTACAGTTGGATTTAAATAGGCTCGCTCGCTGAGTGTGTGTGCGTGCTTAACATAGTGTGGAATTAATTTTTTTCGCGCTGCTTTTATTGAGAGCGAGCAGACACGAACATGAGGGGACACTTACACAGCTGCAAAATTGGCTCGGTGTTGCCAGACAGCGTGAATGGAGACTTGGCGACTTATGCAGTTGCAGTGGCAAATATGGGACTTTAATTGCGTTAGGCATGGAAAAGTGAGAGTGTGTGTGTGAGAGAGTTGCTGTGACGTTCTCCTACTGGAGAGAATGAGTTTAAGACGCAATTCGCCAAGTAAAAAAGCTGGCCAACGTCTACGCTGATATGGTTCGAAATCAAAAAGGCTCTCCAAAGCGCGCGCTCTCAACTCTCCAAAACGCTTGCCGACGACCACACGCACACACACACACAGTGGCGGGTGGTTGCTGTTTTCGTTTGTTGATATTTTTCAATGAAATTTAAAATGCATCAGAACCAACAGGTCGCTCGCAGTTTTGTATTAAAACAAATATCGGGAATTCTAAACCACTAAAAGCCCATAAAGTATTAATACCTTTTTTTGTTACAACTTCATGAAATCATTGAGTTTAATTAAAAGAAATCTTTCAAAACAACCAAAGAATATTTTAATTTTATGCTTAAAATCATGAATTAAGTAAGAATTGGTTTTTAATTAAATTTTGTTTTGAAGGTTTTGTGTGGATTTTTTGTTAAAAATAAGTATTTTTAAATTTTATGTTTTCAACATGATTTTTTTATTAAATATTATTAAAATACACATTAATACTTTCAACTCGTTTACTTTTGAAATTGTTTTTTTTTTTGGTTTAGTTAATGCATTTTAGAAATTAATTCAACGTTTTCTTAAAAAATGTAACTGTGGATAGTAAGAAGGGCCTTTAAACATATATGTTTATGCAAAGGCACTACTTTATACAAGTCACTTAAGTTGTTAATCTCTGATGTGCAAATTTATTAAAGCGTCATCTTATTTTCACAGTCGCCTCCTGGACCAAAGCGCCGACGCCTGGAGGATCCCCTGCGAAACCTGGTGCCATCCGGCCGACAAGGATTGCCAGTTAAACTCGTGAACATACCAAAGGCCTCCCTGGGATCCGTGGTCAGGGTGCCTGGTGTTGGACCAGTGCCAACCAGGGCATCTCCGCTTCCAGCGGATCCCCTACGATCCATGCACATACCCAGCGGCATCACTGTCACCAAGCACCAGAAGAACATCCTGACCACAAACGGAAACCTGACCATTTCCCTGGCCGAGAGCAACAACAACAACCCCAACAGCTTCAATAACAATGTAGGCGCCAAGCAGGTGAAGCTCGGTTCCGCCCACAAAGTGGCCTGGTCGGTGAGCAGCAAGGCGCCCAGTCCGAATGCCTTGATAACCAGCGTACCCAGTCACCAGGTGCGGGTGACGACCGGCAACCAAGTGCGGTTAGCAGCCGGCACCAAAGTCATCCTGCCGACCATGGCAGTATCTCCGAAAACGACGCCTGCAAAGATTCAACCTCTGGTTGGGATAGCTCAGCCCCAGCAACAGCAAAAGCCGCAGCAACAGCAAAAGCCCCAGCAACAGCAACAGTCACAGCAACAGCCTCAGCCCCAGCAGCATAAGGTCATAACGCCAAGTCAAACGAAGCCTAAAACTTCAATGGGCCAAATCCTGCAGCAACAGCAGCAACACAAGGCGCTGACAGGACAACAGAAGATTCTTTTAAAGCAGCAGCAGCAGAGGACTTCTATAGGGCAACTGCAGCAGCAGCAACAAGGATCGCTGGGCGCCCAGCAGCCGCAGCAACCGAAATTAGTTGGCGCCCAGCTGCCACAGCAACAGAAATCGTTGGGCGCCCAAGTGCAACTGCATCAAAATCCGTTGGCAGCAGCGCCCCAACAGCTAGTTCATCAGAAAACGACGGTCGGAGCACAGATTCAGCAACAACAAAAAGTATTTGTGGGACAACAGCAGCAGAAGATTTCCCAGGCACAACTTCAGCAGCAGCAGCAGCAACAGCAGCAGCAACAGCAGCAGCAGCAACAGCAACAGCAGCAGCAACAGCAGCAGCAACAGCAAAGAGCCTCTCTAGGGCAAGTTCAACAGCAACAGCAAAGAGTATCTGTGGGACAGCTACAGCAGCAGCAGCAACAGCAGCAACAGCAGCTGAAAGTCAATACAAGCCAACACCAACAGCAGCAGTTGTCACAGAAGATAATCTTAGGACAAATGCAGCAGCAACAGAAGGCCTTTATGAGTATAACGCAGCTTGCGAAGGCACCAATGGGTCTACTGCGGCAGCAACCATTCCAACAGACTCCTTCGCCGGTGGCCCAGCAGCAGTTGACAAAGACACAGATGGGCCAGCAGTTGCTTAGCTCTGTGATGGCCACCCCGAGTCCAGTTCAGCAGCCGCAGTTCGCTCCGAAACCATCGCTGCCCGCCGTCAACCAAATCACCCACAAATCAATGACCATACAGAAACTACCCATGGTGCCAAAGGTGCCCCCAGTGACGAAGGTTCCGCCAAAGCAGGTATTCCCCTACCAGACCCCACCACCCGCTCATCTAGTGCAAAAGCAGGCACCGCCACATGCGCCAATGCCAACACCTGCCTTCGCCTACCGCCCACCAATAGTCAGACCGACGACGGTGGCCAAGATCACTCCTGTGCCGCCAAACAACAGAACCAGCTTGCCGCTGAAGCCACAGGTGCCTGTCCACCCGGCGGCTGTGCAACCTGCAGGGGCAATCCTTAGTGCGGCACGTACTTTGCCCTTTAGAAGGTCACAAGCCCACAAGCCAGCCACGCCTCCACTGGCTTCAACGAATCTCCAGGGATTCACCACGAGTGCCACGCCACCGCAGCGTTTGCTGGCCACTCCGCCGCATTGTGCGGCCGCCTTGAACGAGCCGCTGCTGCTGAACTTGCCGCCCACCACCAGCATTACGCCGCAACTGACGCCCACGACCACTCCGCCGCCAGCTGGGATTCCGGCTGCAGTGCAGCAACACCAGCTGGCCAAGGCGGCTGCTTTCAAGTTGAACTCCTTGCCCGGGGCGAGCATATCGCCAGTGGCCAGGACTCCAGCCAGCGTCGCCAAGCGCGTTCAGCCCATCACAGTGCTCAAGAAATCCGACGAGGAGTGGCGCAGGCACTTGCTCGAGCACCAGCAGCAGCAGCAGCAGCAGCACCAGCAGCACCAAAAGCAGCGCGAGCAATCGCAGCCCACGTCGACGCCCACGATTGTCCTTGTGGAGTCTCCGCCCACTACGCCGCCCACAGAGAAACCGGAGACGGAACATAGGCCGAAAGCAGCGGAGAAACCAGAACCGATCAATTCTCTTCCGACAGTTAAACAACAACAACAACAACAACAACAACAACAACAACCCAGTAAAGCGAGAACCCCTGTTATGGTGACTCCACCCACGAAAGCAGCTGTCAATGCTGTCACCGAAATTGTGGATCTAGATGAACTGCCCGAGACGCCGCCAGCGAAGCGAAAGCCAGAGATTTCGGTACCGATACAGAAGCCTAAGGAAACATCGCCGCCCGAGAAAGCCCCTTTTATAGCCGAGTACTCGGCACTCCTTAAGCTGTGCCTCGAGACGGACAAATCGGAGGACATGGCGCGCTTGGCCCAAGGAAAACTGACCAGGTACTACTACAGTGTGCATGAGAGCTTTGTGGTTTCGCGTGGTTTCCGCAAGATGGTCGACTTGGCCATAACACGGATCAGGAATGATCCGGAAATGGTGTACGTGCACCTCAAGTGCGTGGTGGATGAACTGAAGGCGCGACGGCTGGCCAAAGTAGTGCTCCCCGCGAAGGCGAAGCGGTCAGCAAGGGAGTCCCCACATCCAAGAGCCTCTACACCCAAGGAGCAGCAGCCCGATGAGAAGGCTAGGGCTCGGATGCAGAGTCCACTGAAGATGAATGAGCAACAGGAGGAGCAACAGGTGGAAGAGGTGGAGGAGGAGGAGGAGGAAGCGGAGATGGAGATGGAGCCGGAGCCCGTTTCACCCACCACCGACAAACGGATGGATGAGCGCATCCGGAAACTGAACCGCACCTTGTACACTTTGACGAAGCGGATTAAGATGTTGGAGGAGGCGGATGTGGACTGGAACGACGACGACTCCAGCTATCTGCAGGTAGAGCGCTTCAAGAAGCGTGCCTGTCAAATATACGAGAAAATCTGTGATCTAACCGGCGAGAGCAAGAGTGCCCGTAGCCAGCTTAAAAAACCGATCCAATTTAAGGATACGGACTATCCGGAGTTCAATAAAACCCTGTCGTCCTTTGTCAACCGGATGCGGGAGTTCCCAGACTACCATGATGTGCTCAGGCTACTGGAGCACTGTAACAAGGAGAAAGCACTCGGACTAGCCAGCTTTGAGATGAAGAGAATTGGTAAGGCATTGCTTTAAAGTTTTAACTATCAGAACGGAAATTAGATCACAAATGTACAATTTTACAGCCTATGATGCCTTTGGCAAAGTCGGAGAACTGCTGCAGTCCCGGCGGAAGACTGATCTCTACGAAACCGTAACGCACTTCACGGCGAATGGAAAGGATCCAGCTTCCAGCGACCCCGAGCTGCTCGCCAAGCTGAAGGAGAACAACAAAAAAAAAACCAAAATAAGTGATGTCTTAGAAAAGTGAGCACAAACCAAGAATTTCAGATCTGTTCTGTTCGATAAGGTTGGACTTCTTCGAAGATCGTTGTTAGAAATTAGTCGTAGAAGTTCCTGTATTATAGAGTTCTTCAAATCTCTCATTGCAACGATTAACTTAGTTCATTTTTCTTAAAGAATTTTTAAATTAATATTGATTGTTTCAACGATTGCAAAGCATTCTTGTTAACTCTTCGAGCAAAGGGTATGATCACAGCTTATTGAAATGTAATCTTTATTTGAGTAACGAGAACAGAAACAGCTCTGAATTCACATTTTATGTGCAAGTCTAATATTTTGAATGCTTTTAGGTACGCCCGCGAGCAGGATCTCAATGCGGAGGAGCGTCAAGAGGCGCGTCTCAAGGAGAAAAGGCTGAAACAGGAACAAGCAGACGATGCCGCCAGATTGGCTGCCCTGGCCGCCGAGGACGACGACAAGCCCTGCACAAGTGCGCAGGCAGCGGCAAAGGCGGCCGCCCTCGCCGCTTTAATAGAGAGTTCATCGGCTCAAAGGAAGTGCGAAAACGGGTCCATCGATGCAAAGGCTGCCAAAGAAGAAGATGGGGACGATGGGGACTCGGAGGAGGAGTCGGAGTCGGAGGACGAGGAGGACGATGTGGACGATTTCGTGGACAACTTCAAGGCCAACGGCGAAATGAGTGACGCCGAGTCCGAGGCAGAATCAGAAGCATCTCCAAGGCAAGTTGCTCTGGCTCCCGCCGAGGAGGTTGTGATAGATATAACAAAAGGCGAGACCGACAGCAAGAATGACGTGGTCCCGCCCAATGGCAAGCTGAAGATTATGTCCGTCTCTAGTCTGAACGCCAACTTCGTCCATGGGCAGGATCCGAAGTGTGCTAAGCCTGTTATTGCCGCCGAGATTATCATTTCGGACGAGGAGTCATAGAACGAGTCGTAGCCGCAGCCGCGTCTGCAACCGTAGTTAAGTTTATTTATTCAATTCTTTCAATTTATACCTGATTAGTTTCAATTATGTATATTTAATCCTTGGTTCTCTTTCAAACGCCAAGTAACCAAAAGTGTAAGATCATCCAGTTAAATGACAAAGATGCTTTGCAGCGAAGAGTAATTTCTGAGCACATTCAACCGATAATTAGACTGGTTGCGGATTTGAGTAGTGTTGAGGAATCTTGTTTAATTAACAGATAACTTTTTTTGCAAGCTACCATTATTTGTTGTCTTGCAGAAAAACTTTGGAAAATCATAATTTAAACGGTTAATTAAAAAACTAACACTATCTGAAGAGTTTGTGAATATCTGACACCAAATTTTGAAAAATAGTATGCAACAATTTTGAGCTCTTAAAATTTCTAAATAATTTGACGATTATTGTTAAATTTTTTAAAAATTTAAAAAAATTGTACAAGTAGAACGAATGCAAGACTAACAAATTTTTTTTTTTGTTTTTTTTACATAAATTCTAAACTCTTTCCTAGATTTAAAATTGGTTTTTATGTTCAAGCATTACCGTTGTCGCTCCTAAAGATCTTTGATGCTTTAATAATCCGTAATAATGTCGCCACGCTAATTTATTAAAATGTCCGTACCCCGAGTACAAGCCACAACAATACGCTAGTGTACATATGGAATACTACTAGGCTAAGTTAGTTGTACTAAATAAACAGAACGGTGAGAATCAAGAACTAAAATGGGGCTCCGCCCAGTTTAGTCCATCCGGATGTTGCGCAGGAACTTGGACACCTCCGACTCGTCATTGGCCGTCTCCTCGATAATGTCGAAGTGGTCGTATTTCGAGAAGACCTTAAAGCTGGCCCGGAATCCATTCTTTTTAAGCAGCTCGGCAAAACGGCGACTTTGCTCGATGAAGGTGGTACTGTCATGCTCCGCGGCCACCACGTACATCTTGGTGGAGCTCCAAATGGCTACGTCCGTGTATTCCCACAGCATGGGCGACAAGGTCCCCGCACTCTGCTGATTGAGGCTCAGAATGTTTTTGGGATTAACCGATTCCAGATTGTACAGCTCCCTCAGATCGTAGATGCCGCACATGAAGACCAAGGCCCACACCTTTTTGCTCCTCTGGGGGCTCATCGCCTCCTGGGAGTGCAGGATCTGGGCGAGCAAATGGGCACCGGCCGAGTGTCCGGCGAAGGTGACCTCGAGCACATTGGTCAGTTCGGCGTAGTCGAAGATCCAGCTGATGAACCCGGAGAACTCCTTCATCAGCTTCTCGAGGGTGACGTCGGGGCACAGGTTGTAGTCCATGACGGCTACGCGATATCCACGACGCACCAGCGGACCCACCAAGGAGCAGGAGGTGCTCTTGTCCAGCATCTGCCAGTAGCCCCCATGAACGAACACGAAGAGTGGCGCGTGTTCGGGAGTACGTTCGTTGTAGAACACATCCACCAACCGACGACCTCCTCCGTAGCGCAAGTGGTCCACACTGATGCCCTGCTGCTCGGTCAAGTCCCTTTCATCTGCAATGTTACGTTTGAGTCTGGCTCTAGTCGGAGGATCCACTTACATACGCTGCTGGGTTAGCCGTATAAAGTGCTCCTGCACGGCTATATTCGGTTCCGGTCGATCCTGAAACCTGGTGGTATGATAGCTGGGAAGATACTCCCGGTCAAGGTCTTTGCTCTTCGGATTGTACATTCCTGATAAGAAATCGAAAAAAACACTGGGAGACTAGAAAGTCAAAGCACACCCAAACTGCAGCGAATGGCGTTTAGTACTACGCTTTGCGGTCAAAAGTAATGCAATATCTTAGCCTTATTGTCAGTACAACAAGTCAAACCGGATTGCCACTGTTAGATCGTTGACTTTTTAACGTATTAATAAGCTTTTAAACTAATATCTGCCTATCTGGGGGCTGGCGTTTTGGAACACTGATTTCAAAGCATAATGGGTGTTCTAAGCATCAAAAAATAAATTGTTTTCAAAAAAGTGCTTTTGATCTTTTGTATGTAAAAAAGAAGTTTGTAAAATAAATAGATAATTAAAGTTATATCGATGAAACAATAGTTTATTTCTGAAAAACAATAACATTTTCGATTTTTATAGTTGTTTTAAAACTAAAGCTTTTTAGGAAAACTTTTTATATACTAAAATTTGTCTTAATAAACCTGAAATGCATCAATAAAAATAAAAAATGTTGATAATAAGAACAAACGTAAAAAGTTGACCATATGTTAAGATGATTTGTCCAGCGTATTTCAAGATTTATGCTCGCAAAACAAAGTCGTTTGCGATTAGCTAACCAAGCACTAATTTATTAGTTGTTTTATATTCAAATTTGAGAAGTCTTTTAATACATAATATGTAGTATATGTATAAATTACATCAACGGCTAAAATCAGCAATCTTCTTTTTAATAAAAAGTACAAGTGATAGATAGACTCGGATGTAAATGGTCGCTTTTAATTTATATTGTTGAGTTTTTGTGATTTCTTCAATGTAGTTTTGATTTGAAAAATAAAATAATATGACCAAACTACACCAAATGGCGATGTCCGATGTAATTTAAATTAGTGTTTTGAACTTGGTGTGGAACGGTCACACTTTGACAACTCGACGGCCAACTCAGCCAAAAATAATTTGTGTTTTCGTTAAAAATTACAAATAATCAGCAAAATGAGCCGTCAGCAGAACGAGGAGGACACCAACTCGGCGCTGTTCGATGCCCGCAACGAGTACTACATCGGCAACTTCATGGGATCGATCAACTTTGTGCTGCCGGAGCAGGGAACCGCAGGATCTGAGCTGCTGTCCTACATGTACCTCTCCTACTTGGCAATCGATTCCGGGCGTATAGTGGCCTCGGATATCAAGGAGGGCAATGCCACGCCCCTGCAGGCTCTGCGGCTTGTACATGAAGCCTTTGAACAACCCTCGCGGACGGAGGAGTTGCTGGAGAAGCTCACGGACAAGGTGGCCGGGGAGGAGGACGAGACCAACATCTGGCACATCGCCACCGCCATAGTCTACTGCCACGATGGCCAGTTCGAGAACGCCCTGAAGATTCTGCACGGCTCCACCAATCTGGAGTCCATGGCTCTGTCCGTGCAGTGCCTGCTGCGGCTGCAGCGCGTCGATTTGGCCAAGCAGCTGGTGGCCAAGATGCAGGAGATCAGCGACGACGCCACGCTGACGCAGCTGGCACAGGCGTGGGTGGCCCTCGCCCAGGGCACGGAGCAGATGCAGGACGCCTTCCACATCTATCAGGAGTTCTGCGAGAAGTTCAAGCCCACTCCAAGTCTGCTCAACGGCCAGGCGGTGGTCCATCTGGGCCTGGAGCGGTACGAGGAGGCCGACTCCGTGCTGCGCGAATCGCTACTGAAGAAGCACAACGACTACGACACCCTAATCAACCTGATGGTGCTGGCCCATCTCACGGCCAAGCCGGCGGAGGCCATTACCCGCAATCTGGAGCAGCTGCGGCAGTTCTATCCCAAGAGCGACTTTGTCACCGATCTGGACAAAAAGTCGGCGGAGTTCGACCGTCTGTGCCTGCAATACGACCTTGATGGCGGGGAGAAACTGCTGGCCGTGTAGACATAAGAGGCAATTCCAAACATTCATTTATCAAAACCTTGTTTATGTATTAAACTACAATAAAAAATTTATTAGAAATGTATGAGGTAGTGGAGAGTGCATCAGTAGCTGCAAAGAGAAACAAGGTTATTATTAGAGGGTTATAACAAAATAATAGCTAGCAATTGCAGTTCGAAATACATTTTTGTAATATTTTTACTGAGACATTTTTAAATAGCTGCGCTAGTTTATGTCAAACTTTGAGGCAATTTGGTGAATTGTGATAGGAGGACAGTAGCGTTTGTCTCTACAATTTTGTTTCGGATACTCACTTCTGTTTGAAGCCATATTTCTTGCGTTCGTAGAACAGGTCAGTCTTGGAGCTGCCCAGATTCACGATCTTGGGGCATCCATCGCGCTAAAAAGAACGAAAATACACATTAACACCATGTATTCCCCTTGTTGAATTAACTCGTAACCCACGTCCTTTTCCTGAATCGTGCACGACTTGCAGTAGTAGGCATCGGAAACCCCGGGACCGCCGCAGATGACGCACCTTCCCTGGTAGGATCCGTAGTTGCACTCGTCGCAGATCCGGACGAGGGTGCAGGGCCGTACGTAGGAGTCGCAGATCACGCACTTTCCATCGTCTTTCTCGCACAGGCGTCCAATGGCTGCCGCATGTGGATGTGAATGGGGTGGAGGAAATGGTAAGCAACACTGAATTACCCGGGAATAGAACGCTTCTTAATTGAAAACTCACCAACTCCTGGTTGCTTGCGACAGAAAATCAAATCCGGATGATGTTTTGCCATGCTTCAAAAGTGTTTTTACAGTCAGTCGGAGAAAAACAATTTTGGGTATAATAGCGGCTTTTTAAGTGTGACCGTTCACGTTATTTCTTCTCAGTTTCAGGGTTGCCAGACTTACAATATTAATATATAGGGTGTTCACTAATATCTCTGTTATTATCAGCAAAATGTTCATATTTTAGATTGGTATAATATAACATAAACACCAGCTTCGACTTTCATTAAGCATGACGTGGCGATAGTCTCTTGATGCTGAAAATTTCGAATTACCAATAATGACTCCAACTATCTGTTTAAAGAATGGCAACCCTGCACAATTGCAATATGGCCGTTCACAGCGACTAGTAAACAACAACAGCTGTTGGCGTGCGCAGGCGAATGTCACTGCAATTTATTTTCTGTATTCAGTTTTAGCTTTGTTCCATAAAAACTGCAAGAAACCCGCCCACAATGCAACAGTTTAGCTAGGCAGTTGTGGGGAAAGTGGACACCAACCAGGACTTGAACAAGGACGCCAGCGTAATGTCACAGGCCGCAACCACGACGCAGAGTGCGGCTGGCAGACGCCCACTGGCCAACGAAGTCATCGGGACCACCATGTCGGCCCGATACGGCGAGACGGAATGGGAGGCGCGGGAGGTGTGTATATATAATGTATATTCCCAATCCAAACTTGTACTATCCGCCTTCTACTCCTAAATAGTCCCAGAGGCAAAGGGAACTGCACGAGGCTCGAGCCAGAGCGGCGCAAATGGAGAAGACGATGAAGTGGTGGTAAGTGAAGAAGCTGCTGCTTAATCCCCAACATCTGCTGATCAAAACACTAACCCTTGCAGGTCCGATTGTACTGCCAACTGGCGGGAGAAATGGAGTAAGGTAAGCACGGTTGCCATGGCTTCCAAGTTGGTTCGATATCGCCGGTATATAATAGCAACCCCACTCACTTTTCACAGGTCCGCAACGAGCGGAATAAAGCCCGAGAGGAGTCCAAGCAGCTCAGCCTCAAACTGGACGGCGCCATGAAGGAGGCCCACTCCCTGAAGCGGGAGAAGAACGATCTCGAGCTGCAAATCACGCAGCTGAAGAAGGAGATGGAGAAGGTGCACTCGCTGATGATGAAGCACGCCGGGCAATTTCATCGCGCCGACACCAGCGAGGATGCGGAGGCCAATGGACGGGACGCGAACTGCTCGCCGGACATCTCATCGGATGGCCTAAAAAATGTGAATAGCGAGGATGGTTTGGTCACCAAATTGCCCAACGATGTCAAGGATCTGGACATCGAGGAGTTCGCCATGAAAGGGGCCATGCCCAAGCATCTGACCGAGTTGGACGAGGCGGCAGCTGCAGAGGAGAAGCGCCTGATTCAGCAATTGTCCAAGGATGACTTTGACGAGGACTACTTGCTGCAGAAAATATCTATGCTGCAGTTGCGCCTGGACGAGGCACAGAAAACTCTTCAAGCGGAAAGGGAGTGAGTTAACCCCATCTCTTTAACGCAAAGGTTTCCTAACTTTGGCGCTTTTTTCGTAGTGAGAAACTGGAACTGCACAAGAGCATTGAAAAGCTGACGCTGGAGATCCAGGACGTGCGCGGACGTCAAGAGGAGATGCGCTCCGCCAAACAGGAGGCAGTGCGCGAGCTTCTTACACTTCAGGAGCAACATCGCGCTGAGATGCGTATCGTTAACAACTCCCTGCAGGAGGAGATTGCCGCTCGTGAGAATCTGGAGCGTCGGTAAGGAGGAATACTCTATTTATTTTGCGCATAGTCTAACTATGGTGCTCCTTTAGCCTCACGGAACTTCGCACTGAGCTGGAGCACCTTCAGGCGGAGAACGCCTCCGAATGGGGCAAGCGCGAGCGCCTGGAGTCCGAGAAATTGGCTATGGAGCGGGATAACAAGAAACTGCGCGCAGAACTCAGGGACTACCAGGAACGGTCCGACCGCAAGTGCCGACCTATGCAGGCAAATGACGTGGAGCTGCGGGCGTTGCAACAGGAACTTTCCGAGCGCAACAAAGAGATCAGCGAGGTGAAGATGTCGCATGCCAAGCTGAAGAAGCTGCTGGCAGAGACAAACACCGAGCTGGGTCACGCCGTACGCCGTGCGGAGCAGTATGAAGCGGAGGTGAGTTAATCCACACCCAAAAAATCTTATCGGTTGATATATAGAGCAGATTACGCGTATCAGCTTATCGACCAAGGAAAACTATAGGAGTTCTTCAAGATATAGCTGACTTTTTCGGCAATTTTGATTTACTTGATATTTATTCACATCGACACGTACACAGCTAACTCATTAGTAAATGCAGTCCACAAAAAACGTTTGGAAAGGTAAATTAGTTGGCAAATGCCGGCAGTCCTGTGATGGCGCGACCTAAGATCAAAGCGTGTATGTCGTGCGTGCCTTCATAGGTATTTACCGACTCCAGGTTCATCACATGCCTGATCACATGGTACTCGTCGCTGATGCCGTTGCCACCAAGCACATCCCTCATTTCGCGGGCAATGTTCAAGGACTTCCCAGTGTTATTCCGCTTCAGGAGCGAGATCATCTCGGGCGTATGCAGCTTCTGATCCTTTAGGCGACCCACATGCAGACAGGCCTGAAGGCCCAAAGCTATCTCCGTGGTGGCATCGGCCAGCTTCTTCTGGATCAACTGATTGGCAGCCAGAGGGCGGCCAAACTGCTTGCGATCGAGGGTATACTGACGTGCAATCTCCACACAGACTTCTGCGGCTCCCAGTGCGCCCCAGGCGATTCCGTAGCGGGCGTTGTTCAGGCAGCTGAAGGGTCCACTAAAGCCCGACACGTTGGGCAGCAGCTGCTCCTCCGGCACCCGGACATCGTCCATCAGGATCATACCCGTGGGCGATGCGCGCAGCGAGAACTTGCCCTCGATCTTGGGAGTGTCCAATCCTTGGCCGGATACCTTCCGGTCCACCAGGAAGCCGCGAACCTTGCCATCTTCGCATTTGGCCCATACCACAATGACGTCGGCAATGGGCGCACTAGTAATCCAGGTCTTTGCTCCATTCAGAACGTACGTCTTGCTTTTACTGTCGTACTTCGCTCGGGTCTCCATGCCGGCGGGATCGCTGCCGTGGTTAGGTTCAGTCAGTCCAAAGGCACCTGGATAAAGAGAAGATGGGGTTTAGGTTGTCTGTCTTTTAATTTTCTTTGAATCTAAAGTCTTAAATATATTTTCTTTATTTTTAAGATGTTTATTTAATCAAGTGCTGTCTGCATTCGAATTGCCTTTACATAATCCCCCGAGAAATGCTTTAAATTTGTATCTATGAAGGCCTAATAGTTGTCCCAAACCGTCCCAAACCAAGACTCACCGATCAGCTTGCCCTCCGCCATACTGGGCAGATAGCGTTGCTTCTGCTCCTCGGAGCCAAAGTCGTAGATGGCGCCCATGGCCAGCGAACTCTGGACGCTTACGGCGGACCGATAGGCGGAGTCCACGCGCTCCACCTCGCGGGTCAGCAGTCCGTAGGCGACGCTGGAGACCCCGGCGCAGCCGTATCCCTTGATGGTGCAACCCAGGACTCCCAAACTGCCGATCTCCTCCATGATCTTCTTGTCGAACGTCTCCAGGCGGTTGGCCATCTTGACGCGCGGCAGCAGTTCCGCCTGGCAGTAGCCGCGGAACGCATCCCGAATGGCCACCTCCTCCTCGGTCAGCTGGCTCTCCAGGTTCAGGGGATCCTGCCAGTTGAACTTGGGAGCTGCGGCCTTGGAACTAGTGCTGGCCAAACGGCGGGCGCAGGGCCGCAGATAGCTGATTACACTTTGCGCAATCATAATTCTTGTTTTGTTCTGTGTGTTTGACTGCGAAATAGTCAGCCGGTTCTTCAAAGAACAGCTGCTCGATTCGACGTTCGGCGAGAGAATGAAGAAAGCTCCAAGCTCCCAAGCTACAGCGAGAGCTTTTCTTCTCGCGGTGTCATCTCTTCTCTCTTCTCTCGTTTCTCTTTGCCTCGCCACGATTTGTTTACCCCGAAATGATATTGTTGTTATGCCCGATTCTAATCTGCGGGCTCTAAATTTTTCGCACTATCGCGTTTATTTTTGACTTGACGATAGAAACCAAAAGTGAAGAGAATGCAAGGAAAATTTTCCAACTTCAAGTGTTATCGCAGCTTGGCGGGGGTCGTCTGCTTATCAGTCGGATTGAGGGCTACAAAACACGCCCCTCGTGTTGTGGAATATGTATCTACAGAATATGTATCTACAGAATACTGATAGAGGTCGAGCACTATTTTTGAAAAATAGTGGTGTTTATTTGCATTAAATTAGTTTATAGAGCTAACAAGTTAAAAGTTGTCTATCAACAAAACATAGATTTTTTGGTGCAGTGGAACTCCTAAATAAGCAACATGACTTAAACATTATTTTTATTTAAACGTTGTTTTTAAAATTCTAAATTACATTTTATTTTTTACTGTTATTTTTTACTGTTTTTAAGGGTTTTTAATTTTTTTCGATTTTTTTTTTTATTTTTTTAAATGAATGCATAATAACTCCAGAATATTATGCTTAATGAGTTTTTTAAAATTTGTAAATATTTTATATTTTATTTAATACAAAAACTAGTTTTTCACGTGTAAGGATTCTTACAAAAATTAAACAAAAAAGTATTTTTTATGGAAAGATTGTATTTAATTTTTTGTTTGGGATGATCCAGTACCGAGCCATGATAGGCACCTCTGTTCAACTTTTTCCGAGACGCTCCAAATCATTGGTGCCATTGTCGTATTAAACAAAATATTTGTTCATTGTCCTTTACTATAATGTACGATTGTTTTTTTTCAGAATATATTTTATCTGTAAAAACTTACATTTTTTAAGAACTATTTTTTTAATTTGATTTGAGGTCAATATGTTCTTTACAGAGTTGCAGTTGAATTATGATAATTTGTAGAAACATGCAAAAAGAAAGTTAAATTAACTTATCTTCAAATTGCATTGAAATGATGTTTTTTCTGGCGGCGAATTGGCGAAAATAATAAAATTGAATTTAGTGGTATCAAGCTAATTTTAAAACTAAAATAAAAAAATATTTCAGTTCCAAAATATTTAAATATTTCAGTACCTAAATATCGCACATTCTTAAATTATTTAAAAGTCTCCTGCTAATTTGCAGTACAGATCATTTCTCTGGATTACAATCTTATTCTTTAATTATTTTGACAACTTTTCGTTCACGCAGGTCAAGCGCCTTCGGCAGCGTGTGGAGGAGCTAAAGCGGGAATTAGCTGGCGCCGAGGATGAGCTGGATTCGGCAGTGAACCAAGTGAGACGGTTGCAGCGCTCTAACGATGAGCTTGTTGGTCAGACCGAGGGTCTCCAGGTGCAAATACAGCACCTTCAGAACAGGTAAGAGCTGCCAAAATATTTACATTTACCTACCGATGAGGCTTTTGACTAACTTTGACTAACTCTTACAACGACTAACGTTTCAATGGTGCTGGCTTGGCTAATAACCTAACTCCTAACCCACTCCTAACCCACTAAATCAAGACGAGCTCCGAGTCCCCAGCTGCGGGGAATGGGCGGGGTCCAGCTGAGGAATAAGATTGCCGTGGAGCTGCCCAACGATTGTCTGCCAAACATCAATGATCTGCGCCAGATTTTTGATGACTCGCAGGCGTGCTTGAGGAGCTCCCACAACGGCAGCGACGCAGCTGCCCATCATGCGGCTTCTGTCAAGCGCTCCAGTCACACGGAGCGGACGCTGCTCCAGCAGCAGCAGAGCAGTGCGGCGGCATCTGCAGCGGCGGCGGCAGCGGCAGCAGCGGCCTTTTACGATGCCAAACCCACGCATCTCGAGGAGAACATATTTGAGTCGAAGTCCCGGAACTTGGAGTTCGAGCGGGCCAAGCAGAAGTTCGATAATCCGCATGGGCAGCACCACCACCATCACCAGAGGCAGCGATCCGGAAATGGGCGATATGGGAGCGCAGGAAGCAATGCCAGTCGGGCGAACCTCGCCTTGCCGTTGAAGGGCATGACGAACTTGGGAAGCAACTCCGCCTCCAGCAAAGATGAGCTCAACCGGCAGCTGTATGAGAAGGAGCAATCCGCAGGTGCAGGCTATGCCAGGAACAGCATTAATCTAGATGGTCTTAAAGTGTCCGACGATGAGGTGAGATTGGTGTTACACAAATCTCGTTTGATTGCTTTTAGACAATCAAAGCAAACTTAATTTAATAATGTATAACAAAAAAACTCTTATAATTTTATTCTGTTTAAGGTGATCCTGAAATTTATTATAATTTTGTAATTCTTCACTAACGAATCTGTTTGACATCAGAATGGTGTATAAAATCTTATTACTAATTAATTTAAATTTATTGTAAATTTCAGACTCCGTAGTTACGGTTCGACAAGCATGCTGCTGGACGATGAGACCGAGGGGAACAGCGATTAAGATATAACCAAGACATTCGAGGGACATTAATGGTATTAAACATTTAGTATTAGTTTTCAAGCATGCGTAAGTACTTTAATGTTGGTAGAGCAACCGCCCCAGATGTTATCCGCATTCCTAGCTTTTGTTTGGGGCTGTTACCAACTGGTTCCTTAGTTAATATAAACTTTCGCAGAATTATAATACGTATTTCGAGATTCTAAAATAATGTATACTTTTTACAAATAATCAAATAAGTATGACATAGTTATATGATAAGTTTAATTGTGCGACTAATTTCCATTATCAAATCATCAGTACATTCAGTTTATTATTATTGAATATTCCACGCATTGTAAGTTTATCTTCTTGACTGCTTTTGCTGGTCATATCTCAATGAGCTTAACTCGCAGATAAATCAGTTGAAAGGATCAGATTTCCTTCAAACACTTTCATCCCCATCATAAACTCTTGCCTTGATTAAGAAATGATCAGACTTTGTAATAGATATACCGACATAAGATACGTATTGAAGAATTATACAAGTTCATCGTTGGCGGAATATACATAAACTTAGTGCCAGAAGCCTAATGAAATTTAACGGATCACGATAAATATGCTGCTAATCATTATTCGGCATTAATTTAAAATTTACAATTTAATCAACTCTCGGTACAATTTTTGAGATTTCTGCGGCTGCCTAGTCCGAAACTCTTTTACTTATTCAAAGTTTTAACGATTTTCAGCAGCATAGTGGATCTTATACAAAATATATATTAACAGATTGAAATTCGGAACATTTACGTAACATAATACAGCAATATTAGTATTCTAGTTATTATTTGATAACAACTATTAAAAGTATATTAAATATTAATTAACTATTAAAAGTATATTAAATATTAATGATATGCCAATAAAGGTAGCATGTTGCAAGATAAACACTCAGTTATACAAATTTATTTGGGAATCGAGTTTGGCTTTTCCTCACCCTTTAAAGTACCAAAGCGTTGCCTGTCACAGGCAATCATACGATCGTTAAGAGTCTTTTAAAAATTGTAAGTAATAGGTAAAGAAAAAAATTCAAATTTCAGTCATGGTGCAAGTTTCGCGTTCTATCAAATTCATCGCCATTTGCGTGGGCGTCTATGCCACCTATGTCCTCTTCGTATTCTTCCTTTTGCCCATTCTGATGCCGGACCCAGTGACCATGCAGAGATCAGTAGTAGCCTACAAGACGCGCCACCTGGGCGACCTAAGCAACTTCACCCTGGAAGCAGGCGGTCAGCCGATCCGCTCCATGCTGGTCACGTTCCGGGGATCGGGTGCCCTGACTCTCCTGGACAATTTGGCCCACCAGCCGGGTTGCTACCAGCACTTTGCTCCGCTGATCGCCTACGAGAGCCGCTCAAATGTGGAGCAGGTGCACGGCCGGGCTTTGGATGAGCTTGTGGCGCTGTACCACTGCAATTACAACCAGTCCACAGAGATGCTCCACTGGGGGATGCGCTCGGCGGTCTTCCGCCGCTTTTACGGCGTTCAGGCGAAAACCTGCCTTACCTACAGCCCGCAGACCTGCTGGGATCCGCAGACGATGGCCGCCATCTGCAAGCTCCATCCGTTCATCAACATGGCCGTGTACAACATGCGGCTACAGACTCTGGCCTCGCTCTTGGATCGCGAAGGGTGAGTGGCGCGATTTTCGGATTTTTTGATAGCGAATCAATGTGATACAATTGTTGGGAATCCAACATTTTAAAACTTATTTTTATGTAAAAACTTATTTTAGTTTTTCTTATAACAATAAGTTTTTTAGAGTATTGTAACACTCTTGTGGGAAAGTACATGTACATTAGCTGTTACTACTTGAAATGTTTGTTGAAAGTTGGTTACATCTGGTTCCTTGTTTTTTCGAAGAATTGTTTTATGTAACTGTCAGGCATGTCAAAAATGTCTTACCAAAGTTCATGACAAAAAGAACGAACTTACCTAATTGGATATTCTTAGCTTTTCTCCAAAATCTGCCTTACTTTTTTGTCTTACGAAAAATCCTCTTTAACAGTCTTAATCTTCGAATCCTGCTGATTGTTCGCGATCCCCGGAGCACTATGTATTCCCGAATTAATAACAATTGGTGTACAACAGCAAAGGATTGCGAAGTGCAAACCCTTTGCGACGATATGATCAGCGATCATCGGTTGGTTGAGACGCTCACAAAAGCTTATCCGCAGCGCTTTAGGTGAGTGTTTTTTTATTGTATTTTATAATTTGGATTCGAAATTGGCAAGTTGTTTATTTTAATTATAATACCCTGCTGCAAGGGTATAAAAACAATAAATACACCCTATCTTTAACTTACTGTTAATTGGGTACTGAACTTTTTTTTAGGAATAAGGAATGTGTTATACATTTAAAAAAAAAAGTTTTTTATGAAAATCCAATCCTACAAAAACTGGATTATTTTTATTAGTAATAGGATTTATGCATTTTTTAAAATCGCTTTTTTTTTAATTTTTCCAGTAACTATGCATTTTTTTTTAATAATGGCTTTTAATCAATATTTAAAAATCATTATTTGTTGTTTTGCCCCTGAATTGAGCTGTCTGTTTACTCATTAACGTACATCCCCCAGCGTTTTACGTTATGAGGATTTGCTCTTGCAGCCCGAAGAAAGTACCAAGCTTGTATTCAATTTCTATGGACTGCCATTCAGGACGCCGAAAATCAGGACTCGGGGAGCTCATCCGCGGAGTGGTCAAATCATGGACCCCTTCGACTGGGACTTTCGTTGGAAGTATACCAATCAGCCCGCCCACGAGTGGATGAGTAAAATGAAGGTGGATGACATAAAGGCGGTTCAGGTGCTATGTAGCGAGGCCATGGACTTATGGGGCTATCACTTGATCCAGGACTTTGAGCACTTTTCACCGGAATCATTCGAACCGATCATGGGCAAGGCTTAAGCTTAAGACTTTGTGGGCAGTTATGATGGAAATAAATACATAAGCAGTGTGATAGGGTGGCTTTCACGAGAGTATTAAGATCAAAATCCTTTCTTTGCCATCAACACTGGTGTGCTAAGACACCATCACCAAAATCTTTATGTTCTGTCCAAAAATAATTCACATGGAGTTTATTTTATTGAATTTCTTTAAAAAATTGCGGTTTATTTGTGAGCATATGAACTACTGGCAGGATCAACCAGAATAATATTTTTATTCATATTAAATATACATTTTAAAATAGAAATTAGCAATAAAAGTTGTATTACAGAGTATTTTTCTTTATATTGAAATATATTATAATTTGTATTTAGGAAGGAGGAAGATGATATGAATACGGCTATTTTGGCTTAGTTTCGTAATCGTTTTAAAGTGCTATATATTTGTTACCCCGCAGCGGTTGCCAGTTACAAGAATTTCATAATATATATTTCTTTAATATAAGTTATGTTTACAAATTTCATTCTAAAACATTTTATTTCGACATTCATATATATTTCACACAATATAGATATTGAGTTAAATCATTTGTTTTTTGATGACAAATTTAAAATGTGTAATTTTTATATAACTCTCTGGTAATATATCATATTTACAATATATTTATATAAATCAAATGTACTGTTTTTTGTGCTATTCGAAAAAAAAATTCTTAAAAAAAAAGAAACACCAAGTAACACTGTTGTGCAAAAACAAAATTGTTTAAGCCTAGAACTTAGATCGACGTTTTTTGATATGTTTTTCTGATTTTCCATTTTTCGCCTTTTGTGAATTAGTCGTTTATTAGTCGAATTACAAAAACTCCGAAAATGTAAAGCAACAGTCTTACATGGTTTGAGTCTGTGCTAGGAGCCTATCATTGCTATCAACCTTGGTTTGTGTCCGCGGTGACATATTTATGGGATATTTAGGAATATTTTAGTCTTTACTTTCCGATTTCCGTTGGTATGTTTCTACTTTCGCGCTACGGTCACTTTGTTGTTGTGAATGGTTTCGTTCGGTTCGCGTCGCGGAAAATCGACATTAAACTACGGGAAAAAAGATAAAGCTACGACGCGACATCCGCAGCGATCTGCAATGCGTATGCGTTCGAGTTGAGGGCGCGGCGACAACTATGTGCGTGTGGGAGCGAGTGCGAGCATAGCCCACCAGTGACCAGTGATTTCGCGGAGCAAGCGACAAGCAGCAATCAGCGCCCAGCAATTAGCCAGCCACCGATGAGCACAGGGGAAACGGAGGAGCACCTGGATCTGGATCTGGAGCTGGACCTAGAGTCGTGCTCACTGCTCAACCAGCAGGACCCGCCGAACGTCGATCCCGGCAGGACACGCGCTAAGCAGCGCCTCAGCTTGAACGGGAAGCGGCGACGCAGCCGGATGTCGCGCAGGGCCAATCTGATAGGCATCTGCGGCGTGAGCAGCCTGTGCATCCTGCTGCTGATCGCCACCACCCAGCACCGTCCGCTGACCACCCCGTTTAACCAGGCGGCTGGCCGGGATCAGGGGGCGGGGGCCGGAGTGGGAGCGTCCGTGGATGGCGGTCCTTCCAACTCGCTGGCGCGCAGCGCCTTCTACGACCGCTTCCAGCAGCAGTTGCAGCAGCAGCAGCAGCAGCAGCCCTCGCAGACTGCCGTCTACAACCTGACAGCTACTCTAGTGGATGTCCTGTCGGCTCAACGGTCGCGCATCCTGGCAGAGATGGAGAACTTTGAGTATCCTCGAGGCGGAGCCGAGCGTCTGGCGGACATGACCCCGGAGACGAACGGCACCCCGGTCCGCAGTGTGGTGGTCACCTCGTGGCGCTCCGGCTCCACCTTCCTGGGCGACATCCTCAACTCGATTCCGGGTAACTTTTACCACTACGAGCCGCTGCTGGACTTTGGCATCAAGCAGATCCGCGACCCCGACGACCAGGAGCTGGCGGTGCAGAATCTGAAGAACCTGCTCAACTGCGACTACGCCGACATGCTGGACTACCTGAACTTCGGCAAGACGCACACCTATCTGTTCGAGCATAACACCCGGCTGTGGGACGTCTGCCGCGAGTTCCCGCGCTTCTGCTGGCGCCCTGCGTTCCTCACGCGCTTCTGCCGCCTCTTCCCCATCCAGAGCATGAAGACCGTCCGCCTGCGACTCGCCCAGGCCGAGAAGCTGTTGGAGGACCAAAGGTGAGTGTTGGAGGACAGGGTTCGGGATTTTCGACAAGGATTACGAAAGCATTTCTAATTTCTTTTTAAATTTTGTTTTCAAAATCCTATAATGCGTCAAATAACTTACACTAAAAAGAGTATAAACAGTTTCTTAATATATTGCTCTCAATTTAAAACGTCAATATATATATAAATATATATATATATATATATGTTTAAATTGTTTATTTCAACTGTTTGCTTGCTGTTTGCAAATAAAGCCCTTATTTCAGCAATTGAAGTTCCCCACTTATTTTCAAATAAGAAAAATATATTGCTCTCTTTACCAATAATGTTATTTGCAATTAAATATAAACTACTTGAAGTTCTCTATAACACCAATTGCTTTTTACAATATTAATTTCCGTTTAACATTGATTTAAGTTATTTCTTTATATTATGTCCTACATGTTTACGAAATTGTTCGATTTCAAGATATTTTGTTTTGATAATAATAAAAGCACTAATTTTATTTCTTAAGTAAAAGGTTTGATTTGTATTTTTAAATTGTTGTTCGTTAAGAAAATTGTTTGGTTCTGAAGCAACTATTCGTTTTACAAATAGCCCAGTAGCTATTTTTAACAAAATTTAATTTTAAAAAATATGGAATCAGGTATCAAATCAAGCTTTTTAACTCTGTTAAAAATCAAAAGTAAGAACATTGTTAAATATCTACAAGTTCTTAAAAGAAAAAAATAATACAACATATTTTCTTGTCGCAAATATTAAAATCGTAATCGTCTCGTTAGAGTTTCTCCACTCAGAGCCAGTCCGCCAGTTGTTCAATTGCCTCAGCAACTTCTCATTGTTACTCTTTATATCCACTTTTTATCTCAGAGCAGGCCAAGGCCCCCTTTTGTGATAGGCTTTGGTGTATAACATGCTCTATTATTTTCTTAGTTTTGCCACATTAACTTCCTCGGCCGGAAAAATATTTGAGCTTATCAAATTACACAGCGCAGCATGGAACCGCAATTTCTGAAAGCACTCACCGAAACTAGATAAATCCCATTTGGGCTTTCCCTCTCTAAGCTCTCCTTTGAATACTATAGCGACTATTTTCAATAAGATTTTTTTTTAACGGAATTATCTCTTGAGTCAATTAAAATTTCACGTAAATGTCGTCAACATTTTTTTAGGTATGTACACAAAAAGTAAAATGTTAAAACAACATATTTTAGAAATCTGTTAGAGTAATATAGCGAAACCAAAAATCGTAAAAACAGTAATTTGATGTTTGCTTTCCTCCAATGATGTAGTAGCAACGAGAACTATGCCAGAGAAATACCAGAATACTTTAGGACTCCGAAATCAAAACTGCGGTTACAGTCCAAAACCCCAAACGTGTTGAACAGTGTTATTTATATATCAAATTGTTGTACATATATTTGAAATAAATGTCTTTTCATACGCTTTTTTAGTAAATGAATATTTTGCCGAAATGATTACTTTCACTAAGTCCCCGCGCATAAAATTTCAAAGGAGTTTTATAGTTGGGTTCAATTTATGAATTCATTTCTAAATAATTTATTTCTAAAATGATATATGCTTAATAGTCCTGTCATTTAACTAATTTACTTACTAGGTACTTAAACATTTTCGTTCTGGTTTATTACCATAATCACTATTTGGGACTTTCAAACTTTTTAAACAAGATAACGATATCAAATTTGTATATACACTTGTATGGCGATAGAGGATTGGGAAGAGTATAATACTTTGGTTAGAGCATTTATGACGGTAATTGTGTTATCAGCGGAACTGCGAAAAAAAAATGTCAGTGTCTGCTGACGGTCAGTCGATTTTGCTTCCATTTACAATTTACTTTTTATTTGTTTTGCTTTTAAACTTACGCCCGCATTCCGATAAGAGATTTAATTTAAGTATTCTCTTAAGGGGAATTCTCATTTCCTGCGAATCGAAAAACGGTTTATTTTAGTTAATTTATATTTGTCTGTCCATGGAGAATCAGTTCGTCTTTTAGGGTAGTTATATAGATACATAAATGGAGTCGCGCCAACAAATCTACCTGCTACTTCTGCGTGCATGTTATGTTATTTTATTGTTTTGGGTTAAACACGTTTTTTTTTTCAAAACCTTATTGTAAAATAAAACTAATCATTTTTAGTCAAAGGCATACAAAAGACGGGACGCACCTTACGATTTCAGCTTTGGGGAGATAATTCAAAGACATTGTCAACGGTTCATGCCGGTACAAATTTTTATATCAAAACCTAGCTAATTCCCAGTGATATGGGCTACATAATTTAAAATATTGCCAAATATCGAATTTTCGTATTCTAAGCTAAGAACAGCGAAACCCTTAGCTAATGGAAAATAAGTTTGTATGGAAAGTTAAGCTCAGGAGCACCCAATTTGTCATGGAAAAGTACAAAGGGCTCTTAGAGTTTTTTGGCTGTGTTGTCAGTTATCAACAATTAGGTATAATTTAGTTTGTTATCTTTTTCATTACAAAGCAAAGTTTTATTTCTTTGTAAATTAAAATTTTTTTGAAAATTTGTTTGATTAGATCTGTAACTCCAAATCGAAGAATTTACGATAGATTCGTTTACAATTTTTCGAGAATGTTTAAAAGTTTAACAGCTAAAACGTTAATCGAGTAAATTGAGTGGGAAACTCCTTCTCATCCGAGCAAATCCTTTAGCAATTCAATCGAAATCTAAGGCATTTCCCAAATGTTGCAAACAAAAGTTTTATTTACATAATTTCCCATTTAAAAGGTAAGCCGACCGAACAACAGCAGAAATCGATAAAATTAGTGTATAGAAATCTCTAGCTAAACAAACGAGCAAAAAGTAAACAGAAAACGAAAATGTATTTGATTGATGTGGAGCTCTGGTTCTTTGGCCCCCTCAACCCTCCCCAACTGGCTTTTGTGGTTTCGATTACATTTGGAACCGCTTCTCCTCC